TGAATAATGACTTAAGTGCTACAAAATAAAGTGAAGTTTCTTTTCTGAGTTGTTTCACTTAATGTGTCTTTTCAGTGATTTTTCTATTTTGAGAGATTAGTTTTCACATTGAATTGCTTTCTAGTTTACAGCATGGATGGTATCCATGTCTGAATGTCAGTGCATCTATCTAAAAAGAGAACTGCTGGAGGATGTAACTTGATGACGGATTTTTCAGAGCTGAATTTTGAGGTTCCTCTCTTCCCACTGCTTCTGACAGTACAGCTGTTGGAGAGATGGTGCCGTAAATAGGATCATTGGAAAGAGCACCCTTGAAGTGTAATCTTGTAAACTGTGGTGTTTTTTTAGTTTGCAAGATGTGAGTAACTTGCAGTCAGGAGTGACAGTGGTGTGTGAATGGCTGGTGTCTATATATACAGTTTTCAGCACTATGGCTTACATCAGAAGACCACAAGACGTCATGAATCATACCTTCTTAAGACCTTTTGGATGTTTAGTTTACTTCTCAACTGATAAAGAAGCCAGTTTTTTTGTATGATTCCTAATAATTCTTGGAGGATTGGTGGTTTTGGCAATGGGGGTGTGTGTGTTATGAAAGGAATATTTGTTGTGTATTTTTTCAATATCGGTATTCTGACATAGGGTTGTGCACTTTAGTGATGGTGGAGGAATACTTGTATGATAATGCCTAGAGTGCTGAAGCTGCTAACTGAGAGGGAGTGTTACAAATTCAAAAATGACCTCCTTTTTCCTGAAGAAATGGGAACTTGTGAATTAAAGTCACTGATAACTTTTGAGGCCAGCTGTGTACTGGCAGCATACTTGCACTTTGAGAGCTGTGTTTTCTGGCATCTGACTATAAGCAGCTTAAGCAAAAAGCTATTGAAAGAAAAGTCTCTTTTAAGTTTTTAATTATGGTGTTTGCTTGCTTCTTCTCTTTGGATTATTTTAGTAGAAAACTCTGAACTGATGAGATTTAAATTAATACATGTGTCTGGGGAAAGTCTTGTAGGATGCAGTTCAGAAGAAGTTGGCATTATCTTGGATCTATTTGAGACCACCAACATCAACAGCTCATGTCCATGCTCTTTTCTGGGGACGTGTCTGAGGGCTGATATATACTTGCTGAATCACACATGCACTTGCAGCATAATGAGGATGTGAGGTGAACTGCAAATTTATTACAAAGCATCCTGTTTACCTGTTGTGGAGGCAACAGGGTAGATATTGGCCATAACGCACAGGGATGAAAGAGCGGAAAGAAAACATGTTTCTCACAGGATTTTTCTACATTGGCATGTTTGTGTTAGTGCAGTTATTTGTTGACTAGTTGGAAAGATTGTCCTCATCCTCAATGAAAATAACTATTAACAGTGATTAAAAAAAACCTCCAAAACTAGATAGAAATGGAAATATACTTCAGATGTACTTGGGAAATGTGCTGAAATGCTAATCAGTTCTTTTCCTGTAGAGACTATAGAACGCCATTGAGAGGAAGCACATGTTATCCAGAGTTTATAGTGTAAGTATGGGTTTTTTGGGGAAGCGTTCATGCAAAGCTGATTGGTATTCTGCCACAAAGTGTTAAATTGCGACCTCACACCTGTTGTCAGAGACTGTTGAGCCAGAATCCACAGGCAAAGTGGTGGTCACCTGTATTTCCTTCTTTTTGGAGCCTTCCGTGTGGCTGTGCAGGAGAACTGAAAATAAAACTTGATGCAAACACATCTGGTATCAGTACAGCACTGATAAGGAGACTGATCTCCTTTGAAACGATGATTCAGGTGGCCAAGTTAGTGAAAAAAAGATAAGCCAGCTTGCCTTTGGCAGCTATGTCCTTCTAGTTTGCTAATGTTGGATCAGATCCTTGCACCTCTTCACACAGAGGGAACTCATTTAACTGAGCAATTTCACTAAATCTTGGAGGAAAGATTTTGTGAGTTAACTGCTGTACAGTGCCAGTTGGTGGAAACTGGATAGAGGTGGTGTTGCTCATCTGTGGTGTTTATGGCTTTCTGTCTGGTTTTAAGCCTCCAATAACAATATGTAGCTAAACTTTTTTTCTGGTTTTAAGCCTATTTGTGTTGTCTCGAAAGCTCTACTTGCAGTGGCTCAAGCCACATTTAATGGAGGAGGAGCTCATACTTGCTTTGAGAGCTGAATATCGTGCCTCAGCAGGCGAGATTAAATGGATGAGAGCAGACCATTTCTGTTGAATTTATTGTTTGAGAATTAGTGCGTGTAGATGATGAGGACGATTGCCCTGACGCACACAGTTCTTGGTTCTGAGGACAGACGTGATCTACAGAGGACTTAGCAGTGGTTGTTCTGGATGAGAGGGAAGGATTGTCTGGTTGGGTGTTTTGTCTGTAGCAGTGAGTGCTTTGGCTTAGAATATAAGGAGAGAGGAAGTGCAGGATGATGTTTCTCCTGGAATATGCCACATGTTGTCAGACTTCCATTAGAGCTAGAAGTTAGAGCTGCATCCTGGACTTGCATATCCCTTAATGAACCTGTGTAAAAACATCCATCTCCATCTGCTTTTCTTCTCACTTAACACTGACATGCTGTTTTAGCTGAAATAGAAGGAATGTCAGCAGGTCAGATAATTTTAATCCTGTTAGCTGCACGCAGTGAGTGTGCCATGGTTTACATGTGAGCAATGAGTGCATTTGTCAGTGTGCTCTCTATATCTGCATATGTATGTGAATGTGTGTGTGTGTGTCTCAAAAGGGTGCCTGAGTCTTGGTAGGAATGTGATTTCATTGTCGGTTCTCCCTTACAGAGAGGGAAAATACTTAGGACTAAACAGATGTTTCATTTTGGTTCATTAACACTAAATGGAAACAATCAAATCTACAGGTGGTCTATAAAATTGTCCCTGGCTCTATCTTATCTACTTCATGAAGTGAAGAAATAATAAAGATTAAAATATTTATAAGTTAAACTAGAATAGTAACAATATAGTTAAAAGTACTGATAGGAAGACTAGCTTTCATTTAGCATTCTTACTCTTAATGTTCTTACAATTTGTAGATTAAATATTGGTGGTGCTAGTCCCCTTGCAGACTGCAAGAGCTCAGGTGAAAATGTTTCTTGTACTGTGTAGCATCTCTCTGCAAACATTAGAAAATGCTCCTTTTCTGAGTGTTGCAGCGGAAAAGCAGAAGTGGCAGCATGAGAATTTCAAAACAGGTGGAATGCTTATCTGCTCCATAATACATTAGGTGCTTCATAGATCCATGGCTGTGATAATCTTGGTGATGGTTGTTGTTTGCCCTGCAGAACTTGGACTGTTTAAAGGAAAATCTTCCCTGCTTGCCCTGATAAATTCAATTTAATTGTATCTTTTTCTAGGACTTGGTTTGAGCAGAGCAAGGGTGAGTATTAGCCTCAGTGGAGAGCAGGTCAGTCCCTTCTAAGTTGTCCTTGTGTGAACGATATTTGATTGTTTTAAGGTGACTGACTCTGGGCTGTAGAAAGAGCAAATAAGCAGTAGGCTGCAGTCAGGCAAAAAAAAATACTGTCAAAATTACTTTTGATCCAAGACATTTGAAGTCCTGGAGAAAGGATCTCTTTCAAATTGAATCAGCACAGAGAATATGCTTTTGTACATGCAATCTAGATTGATTTGTGCATACTGCTGTGTGAGGTTACAGAATGAGGTGGGTGACAAGACAGGCTTACTGGAGAAACTGTCAGTGAAACTGGTTTTGGTGGGAAATATCTTGCGTAAGAAGTTCTTGCGTCAAAAATAATCGTAGCTTGATTCATTGTCTGCCAGGGCGTCAGGCTGGAGTTGGACTAGGATTAGCAGCCCTGCTGATTCAAGAGCAAATTAGTGAGAGGCAAGTGGACTTCCACTGTTTCAGCTACTGCAACAGCATTTCTGAATCCCATTTTCTTTTCATTGGAAAAGTGACATGTTTCAGGTGAAAGGTGTTTTCTGATCTTGCTTTGTAGTAATAGCATTTGGGGCTGTTTGCTTACAGCAGAGCACGCCTGGAATGTTTTCAGTGAAGTGCTTGGCTTAAGATCACAAAGTTGATGGGATTCAGGAATATTCTGTCCTGGTTTTTATGCTTAAATTGTGCCTGTCCGCAGGTAAGCAGAAGTTGGGAGATGGTGAAAGAAATAGTTAGAATTTCTTTCTCAGGAAAAATGGTAGCAGTAGTTGGTGCTTCTGTGGGAGGAAGAATGTGCCTGCTAAGGAGAATAAGGAGGTGTTGGAGCTGTGATAGCCTCTGCTCCTTGTGGCGATGGACCTGTTGCTAATCAGTCTTTTGACATGCATTCACATGCACCATGCTCATACAATTGGCTCGTTACACAGTTTGTTAGCAGGAATTCTGCTGTGTGGCATTGGTGCTATTACTGTTGTGTTTCAAGAGGAGGGGAAGAAGTATCTGAAAAGCACTAATTTTTTCATGTGTATTAGGAATTATGGTTTAATGACTAGTGTACATGATTGGCACTCTAGTTTCTTCTCCCTTAAATCTAGAATAAAATTTCCCTTGAACCGTTGCCTTGATATCTCTTCTTTGACAAAGTTCTGACAAAACCCACATATCTAGGTAGACTTTTATTTTGTCTGAAGTTTCTATGCAGAACGTTAAACTGACAATACAGTAAATAAAGGAAGCAAGTCCTATTTCAAGGTAATCTTCTTCGGTGTATGGTAAAATCCACATCCTATAATTCTACCGAAGAGTTTTGTGAAAAGCACAGTATTCAGATTAGTACTATTTATTAGTTCAGAGAGATCATGGATACATGCCAGGGAAAACACTGGTTGTTTAGCTGTGAACCACTTGGAGTAGTATGTTTTTCTGCTGTTAAGGGATGTAGGACTTTTCTGCAGTTAATGTTATTTGATAAAAATGCAGTGAACTTTATGCCACCTTTGTCTTGAAAACTATGAAGCTGTTAATCACAGAAATAAATGAGATTCACATATTTCACCAGTTTTAGTGCAGCACTGGGATTCTGCTCAGCCAGGCTCAGAACAGGAGACTTTCGTTTATGTCTTCTGCAACAAAGAAGAAATGTTATTAATGTTTGATGCCGAAGAGACATGTTTATGCTTTATCACTGTAAAGAAAGTGATACACTAAAGTTTCAGAGAGCTCATGCAGGAGAATGCTATCCCTAACAAAAACCAAGTATGGTTGCTGCTGTCATATTCAGGAGCCATTCATTTAGACCCTTCTTGATAGGTGCTTCCTTGTTTCTAGTGTTAGGTCTCCTTGATCTGTTTGTGAGCCAAAAATCCCTTCCACTCACCTCTTCACAAATAACTGTCCCTAAACTCTTCTTTGGATGAACAATCATTGGCAGCCATACATGTGCATCATGCTAACTCCTTACAGCTTACTTCCACACATGGTTTGTGACTGGTAAGTTGTCATCAGAAGAGCTGGAAAAATTCTGGGAAGAGTGAAGGCTCTGCATGTCTGACCAGGGTCAGCCTCCACTTAAAACTGGGGAGTTGCTAGTAGGATTTTGAACATATTTCTGCAGTCCACATGTTTAGCCAAACACCTTCTGTCACGTAACTGTTCTAAGATTAACCTGTGCTACTGCTGCCCTTGCTTAGTGACTGGCAGTGATGTTCAGCTGTCACTCAGAGTTGGACCAGAAGAGGGTAGATTGCAAAAGAATGCCTTAGGTTGAATGTAGTTGTGTAAATCTCAAATTGCTATGGTGGCAGCTCTGTTCAGCTGCTGCCTAATTCTGGAGACATCGCCCGCACAGTAGTACCTAGCTTTTCCCTTTCCTAGAGAAGGCTTGATGTGGATTGAGCTGAACCAAACATACGCCTAGTCCATTTAGGAGTCAGAACCTGTTCCTGCCTCAGCCTCCTGCTGCGTGCTGTCTGGTTTCACCTGCAACTACAGCATGATGACAGCATTTGTGTTGTGTGTAGTAATCTAGAGGTGAGCATAGTGACTTGATCAGTGAGATCTCTTTTGTTTTCCCCGCTTGGCTTGAGATCTTTAAATGTGTTTTCAGTCAACATGTTTTGACCACTGATTTAAAAGTACAAGCTTGCTTTTGCCTTTCCTTTGCACTGAAGGATAAAATAGTGTTTCTTGAGAAACAGACAGGCAGAACATACAGGTTCAGACACCACACAGGAATGTTTCGGTATTTAGTACAACCTACTTCCCACATTTTTCCTCATGGAAAAACAATTCAGAACCTTGCACATTTTGCAGTCTTGCAAAAGTTACTGTTCCATTTGCTTCTGCGCACAGAATTTCTTTCCTGTACGTTGTGGTCTAAGAATGTGCCTAGTCTTAATAGGAACATTTTGTCCTGTACATCTGCCTGTTCTTTTAGGTTTACCTTCCTTAATCCCAAAGCAGTGGCACCATTCCTTCAAAGCAATGAGTTTGTCTTGATCCCCATCGCACTCTTGGAAGAAACGGGTTATGCAGTGTTCCATGGGAACAAGAGAGGCTCTCAAAGGTGCGAGCTCCGAGTGTGTTAGTACTCTGAAATAAAGAGCAGATATGTAGAGCTGTATTTCATTAATAAATCAGGATCATCAAAGATGATCTAATGTGCTAGAAGATGATAATGGTGACTTTGACAGAGATGTCCCGTTGGATTCTCTTGTGCTGTAGTCAGTCTGTCCCAGGTCATTATGATGATGTGTAATATCAGATAGACTAAAATGTTTTTTAACTGCTATTTGTTCACTAACGTTTTTTTCTTAGAACAAGCATTACTGAGACTTGTTCACAACTGATCAGTGTGGAGTTTTACTGTTAACCTTCAGGAGATCAAGCTTGCAACAGTGCTTAGCTATGTTCTAAGGCAGTAGGTGTGATCAGTACGAGGTATTGAGGGCCTGCAGCCGTGAAACATGGATCCCACTGGCGAGTGTCATGACCAAAAACCTGAAATCTGAGTCACATTCTCAGAAACTGGGGGCTTCCTCTGAACTGACACTGGTGCTGTCTTACCATATCTTCTCCTAAAACTGAGACACTTCTGTAGTATTAGGAGGAAACTATGGGTACCTCACTAGTGAATTATTGCTGGCTGGCCTGTGCCCTTCGTACTTGGCCTTTACTCTTGGCTGCAGTAGTAACAGGATATCATGAGCCTTGTTTTCTCCTAGGATCAGGGCATTAATAGCTATTAAAACACTATAGAGCTTAAGGTGTAATACATGATGATTATGAAAGGCAAGAGGATAGCAAGTTCTGACCTAAGACATGGCTCCAGCAAAACAATGAGAAATTCTGTGTTAGAGATGAATGCCTTCTTAAAAAGAGGGGCTTATACTGGCTTTTGTCAGCTGAAGGACTGGTCCTGTACATAGAGAATCCTTCAAGTTGTTTAGAAAAGTAAATGAGCCTGAGCTTAAACAGCAAATCAGAACTGAACCTGCAGATTTTTTTTTTTACCTGTCAACGGGGTGCTGATCAAGCTGATGAAACTCCCAGTGCACAGGGTACACATACATGTGATAATTTTTCTCAAAGTCGTGCAGGAGCAGCTCAACTGCGTGGTCGCCAGCCACGAGGCGCTTGTCGTTCTGGTAGATTTTTTTGACCTGAATACAACAGAAAGGAAGTGAAATTCCTGTAGCCTAATAATCAGACTCGGCTAAGCTGGGCAGTAGCCTCAGGTTGGTAGGACGTGAAACCAGTTTTATAATATTTGTTGATCTTCTGTCCCGAGGCAATGAACTCAGCTTTTGGTGTGAAATATGCCGTCTCAGAAATAATGTAATTTGTACCACTTATATGAGATGTTCTGGGTAGGTCAATGTCCCTCTTAGTAACTGTGTAAGTAGCCTTTGGTGTTGCTCAAGCAGATTTTGTATAAACCTACTGTGACCTACTGCATGCGCCTCTTACTCCAGAATTAGAGCAGCCCAGGTCTCAGTTTAACTTAAACTGTTTTCTAACAGTTATGGCTTTTTAGGGAATTATGGCACCTATATCTTCAAGGGTCCCCTAAACTCTCTGTTGTAATTCTGTCTCAAATCCTGTGATGTGACTGCCCAGTCGCTCAGTCTCATGAGGTCCTCGAGCAGTTTTCTTCATGGTGAGTCCAAGTCCTTCCTTCCTTCCTTTGTATACCTATGTGTTATCAGCAGACCTTGTCACCTACCACCTTCTTCCAGGTCACTTAATGAAAGCTGAATGGCACAGGTCCTTTCAACTTATGAGACTCCACAGGTGAGCTCTTGGCTGGCTGTTCCCTCTTATTCTGTCTTTTAATTAGTTATCCATACCCAGACCTTCCATCTTATGGTATGGCTGCTTAGCTTCTTCGAGTGCTTTGGAAAATGGCATTGACTGCATGAATTGGGTCATCCTTATCTGTGTATTAGTTGATCTTTCCAAGAGGTTTGTCAGAAAGCACTGCCATGAACAGAAGCTGTTTTGTGTCTTCTCAAGCAAACAATATTTGTCTAGGTGTGTGCTAATTCTGACTCTTCTGCCTTTTGTCTATAAACACTGACTTCAAAGTAATACGCTTGGCTTGCATTTGCTTGGACAAAAGGAACATTCATAGCAGAAATTTGTCTCAGCTTAAATGAGTACAAGGCGACATGGAAGTGTATTTTGCAACTCCTGAATCTAATTGAGTCTAAATTGCCTTAGCCAGAAGGGGAATGCTCGTAGGAAATGGGAGAACTCATGAAGTATGAAACACTTTTTTTTTTCATGTGGTTAGTACGGCCTTAACCATGTAACTGCGTGGTCTTACTTGAAAAGGATTGCTGACCTTATTCCTTTGCTTTTCAGTTAGAAATCCAGAAGTATCCAGATCACGTTCATAGTATTGCATAAGGATGTTTTTGAGCCAGTCTCGCATCCGGAGAGGGAACTGATCCACTTCATAATCGGTACAGTGGGGGATGTCTGTGCCAAACAGGAAAGCTTTTGTTAACAAGTGATCTGTTAAGCCCCCATTCGAGCATTTCTGAGCCAAGTTAGATTTGATTCTCACTAGCAAACTTCCAGTTAAGCTTAAAATTGATGGAGCTGTTAATATATAAAATTGGGAATGCAACTAATGAGTTCAGTTGTAAATTTACGATTCTTTGGTGCACATAGAATCATCAGTTGTGCAAGCCACAACCTTTATATATCTGTGCAGCTTCTGAGCAGAGTTGTGCAGTGAAACTGTTATCAGTCAGTTGTGTGAAAGCAGAGTTCTCGACAGCAAAGGAATATTCTGGCTGAGAGTGCACTTTCCTCTCAGGGTACACAGCAATTGAAGAGCTTGGAAATAATTTCTGGAAATCTTAGATCCTGACCTCTGTATTTGGCATCTCAGTAGTCTTATGGGGTTTTTTTGGAGTTGATGTTTTCATTTATTATCTGGCTGTAAATACTGGTTTTCTGGTCAAGGTATTAAAAAACCATCTTCAGATGCCATAGCAATGCAAGCATGTAAAACAGTGCAGGGAGGAGACAGGACTGACAACAAATTGGTGTAAGCCCAGGAGGGATGTGCTTAGGGTTCAGATGCTTAATACCCTTAATTATAGAAAAAGTGACTTTAGATGTGTTTAGGGTTTGAAGGTCTTAATTAGCAGATAATTGATGCAGAGGGGGAGAGCACAGGAAGAATGCAGATAACTTAAGGCCAGCTGGTGGTTAAAGCTACTGGCTCTTTATACCTGGGTGAATTCTTTGTAGAAAAACAAGCCTTACATTTGCAGGAGCCCATATAGTCTAGATGCAGCTGCCGTCCCATTTTCGTCCCTTCAAGTTGACATTTGGTGCCAAAGAGTTGACATGTGCCATCATAGGTCTTATTATCCGTACCACAAACCTAGAGGATGAGTGGAAAACAAAGCCACTCCCATCACTGTGGTGAGAAAAATTCTGGCCGCTCATATAGGCATTACAAGAATAAAAGTATTGTTAACATATGGGGCAGCAGTTGTGAATACCCATGGGCAATACGTGTGGTCAGAAGTGTTGAAAATTGTAGTTGTTACATGGCTACAGAAGAATTAGTTGTCTTTGCTTGCACACCCGGTTTGAGACACTTCAATTTATTTTTGAGTGGCAGTAATATAGTTTCTGAGATGGTAGAGGATTATTACACTAGATACATACTAGTATTCAGCAAATGCTCTAAAACATCAAATAGATAAATAGAACTTTTAGTGACAGGGAAAAGCGATGACCCCTGAGAGACTGAGTAAAGAAAATCACTTTAGGTACTACGTAGCTACATGTGTTCATACTATTCTCAAGCTACAGTTGGTGAATTTGAGTACTTTATTCTTACATTTACAATTACTGGAATCACCCAAACCCGTTTGCCTACTTTTTAGAGTAGGATGGTTCTAAAAGCAGGGGAATATGTTATCTTGTAAACACTTTATTTGGCTTTCCCCCATGCTATGCACTGAATGAAATACTTACACGTTCATAGTCTTTGGTGGAAGGGCAAGAAGCAGGATCTTGGCAAATACAGCTGGGTTTCCCTTGTTTGTCCACATGGCAGACTTTACCTCTTTTGCAGTGGAAGTTCCTACATGGGTCTAGCGATCCTAGCAAGAAGGAGGGACTGTTAGAGGGGATGGGATGAAGCCAAGTGTTTGTTGGGTGCTGCTGACTGTCAAAGCGAAATACAGCCCAATGTTCACCAAGAAGTCAAGTGCTTTTAGTGAGTTTGTTAAAATACAGCTGGATCTTGCTTTATTCAATACAAGCCAAACTTTAAATGAGGATTTTTGTGAGACTTGTAGCAGTCTCAGGTTTGAGTTGGATGGGGAGATAAATTTCTCAGAAAAAGATGTTTCTTCTGTAAGCACTGACATTCACTTCCAGCTTCTTTTGGTGAAGCATATCCCATCTGTCCTTGCTGAATCCAGCACTGGCATTTGTCCCACTCCTAGTCGAATTCAAGCTGAATTCGAATCCGTTCTGAAACTGAACTGTTCCAATGCAAGGTAATACCCGTTCCTGTGTAACTGACATAAAAATTTGTCCACTGTCTACAAATGTTTTTCACAAACATAAATGAGTAAATCCGAGGGTGTATGAAAGGGATTCTCTGGGAACATAACTGCAATGCAGGATTATGCACAAGCACAGTTCAGTCATGTGAAATCATGTGCTGCCAAAGACACAAAAGAAATGCAGACCAGCAGATTCCCCAGCTGCAGGGAGTTAGCAGTTACGTGATGGCTTTGCTTGTGGCTTACCTGGGTGTGCCTTCTCACTCCTGTTGCTTGCACTTTCCATTTCATTATAGGAACTGCCTGTAGTCTTAACCTGTACAGTCACAGAGACGTAAGCAGAAATTGTGGTAAATCTTGGGAAGAAAAAAATACTTGGACAAAATTTTTTTCAGGTGCTAATATAGGGCTGACTGAGGCACAGTTTGCTCTACTTTGCAGCAGAAAGATGCTGCTATGCAGAATGTGTGAAAAGTGCATAAAGCATCTGGTAGTATTAAGGTACTCCGTTATTTGGGGGGAAAAAAAAAGTAGGAGTTGGAGAGAGAGAAGCAGGAGCTTAGTAAGGCCTGAGCACCTGGAGGTTCTGTAGTACTTGGCATACAGCAGCATGGTGCTTTGAGGTTGGCAGAATTGGTGCTTCAAGTCTTAATTTGCACTGGGGCCCCCACTCCAAGTCAATGAGCATGAACTGCCTCTCAGTAGTGCCTGGGAGCAGCAGCACCATGAGCTGCCAGGTGAGACACATGAAGCAGAGGAGAAGGGAAGGACACTTCTTCAGTTCTGACCCTTCTGTGGGGAGGTATCTGCCCTCTCTCTCCCTATTATTTTTTTTTTTAATATTACAGATCCTTATTGATCAGCCATAGGAAAACTCACACCTTTCTTTTGAAGAACACCTTTGATAGTCCACTGGTTATCTAATGGCTGACCGATGTACGAGAGATCTGGGTGCAACATCCTCCCTTGTCTGAAGGTACACAGCCTTTGTCCTTCATCTTGTGTGAAAATTCCCTAGCCTCTAAGATGGTAATTATTCTGGGGACTCTAGCCTTGGTTTTCCAACCCGTTTGCTTTTATATGGTAGTGTTTAAAGTCTTTGGGAGAGAGGAGTGAACAGGCTCCGAAGTCAGCTTGAGACTGGGTTGCAGGTTTTGTATGTTTTGCTACACAGCCCATTGGGGCTGGAGCTCTTACGTGAGTTGTGCTCACCTCCTTTCTGTTATAATTCATTTAAAAGTTATATGTGAAGTGACACAGCATGAACCAGGTGAATAGTGAATAAAAGGGGAGATGAGACTTCTGTGTATTAATAAATTATTACACCTGTTTTTCTCCAAAATGTCCTTTGAATCATCAGGAATTTAAATTTGGGGCTAGTTCCTCCTCCCTTTTTCCAGTATTCCAACTTTATTTTAAAGACAGTTTACCTTGGCTTCACTTTCCTTTGAGTTCATGCTCTGAACAGAGCTACTTGTTTCCAGGTGTTGCTCGCTGTCAGGATTAGGTGGCTCATGATCGTAATCATCTTGTTCAGAGTTTATAAGGTCTTTAACCTTGACATCTTGGTAATCCTCGGTCTCTCTATGAACTGCAGTGTCATCTTCGGTGGGTCCTTCCTCTTCGTGCTCAGTACTGGTGCTCTCCTGGTCATTAGTCTGGATTCTCTCCTCTTCCTCATAAACCGCCTCTTTCCAGGTATCACTGAGATCTTCCTTGCCATCAACATCACTGCTGTCGTGACCATCATCATCCATGTTACTGTCCTCCATCTCTTGTCTTTTCACCACTGTATTGTGATCACTCTGATAGTTTATTTGAATGTTGTCTTTCCTCTCTTGGCTTTGCTGTTTGTCATCCTGATCTTCATTATGGGTTTTTTGAGAGAGGAGGATTTCTTCTTTATAGGGCTTCTGCTGGCTGTGCTCCCTCTCTTCTTCCTCTAGGTCAAATTTCTCACCGTGTCTCGTGGTTATCCGGACTGGTCGACTGGAATCTCTCTGGATTTCATCAGACTGCATACTGTTTTCATTTTGCTGTCTTTTGTGTTGGTTACCCTGATTTGTCTGGTGGCCTTTGTGCTTTGTATCTCTGTCATCAATTTCTTCACCCCATTCCTCATCCTCTTCTTCATCGCTTTCAGTGTTCTTTTCAGATAGGCTAAGTATATTTTTATTAGATTTCCGCGTGTTATGCTCATGATCAAGACTGAGAGCATCCACTGGATTTCCTGCATTGCCTGGAACATGTCCATTGGCCGAATTGCTGTGCTTCTCATGCCTCCTGAACTGGTAATGCTCAGAGTTGGACTGTTCTCTGCCACTGCTTCCGGAGTCACCGTCCTGGTTATCAGAAGCCGAACCTGGTTTATTGTGCAGTGCAAGGAAATTGATGCTTTTTAGGCTATTTTTCCCTTGATGCTCGCTACCAGTTCTTCCTTGTTTTCTAGCAGTCTGGGGCACATCCCTATGCTCAGTGTCTGGTACTGACACCTCTGGTTTTAGGTTTTTGTGACTGGGCAGCAAATCACCCGTGTCTACATACTCTGCATTCTCTTCCTGTGAGGCTTCAGGATTGATATCTTCGATCTTAAAATAAAAAACAATTAACAAGTAGGTTAATAAATCTTAGAATTTATTTGAAGTCAATGCAATGTTATTTTTGCCTTATATTGCAAAGTGTGACACTGACTTTGTTTTCTTTGTAAATGCTTCTCTTAAGCTAGCGCAGAGCATGAAATTCACAACTTAATTCATTTCTGTTTCTCAGCAAGTTCATTTCTGTCCCTTTTTTTTTACTGCTGGAGTTTCTGAAGAAGTCTATGCAACTCTGTTTAAGATCTTGTAGGAGATAGATGCATATGGGTGTCTTGTGAAATCTCAAAATGCTTAATTAGTAATTTAGTGTCATTGCTGCAGCCTACAGTGCCTGAAGTTGTTATCACTTGCTTCAGAGAAGAGGGATGTGATACTCATCTTCCTACAAAGATAAGTGGGAGGCCTGGGAAAAGAAGGGGCAGGTGGAGACAGAGCACCTTTCACAAGGTGTTGTGGGAGTAATTCCAGGGTGTGCTGCACCTTAACTATTTCAGGATCAACACATTCACCTACTTTGAGTCTGATACTTTGCTTCCTAGCTGAATTCATCAGGAGCTGTTGTATTTGGTGGCGACTACTGTATCATAAGCTCACTAGCAGGAGATGCAGGTGTTTGAATGGCTTTTTTTTTTGCATGCTGTCAAGTCAATAGCAAAACTAGTAACTTAAGTGGAAAAGGTTCAAATGCTTGAGGAGAAAGCAGGTACTAGAATGACTGTTAGATCTTACTGCAGCAATTACCCTTCTGCTGCTGTTAGCATCACAGCAGCTGCTGGATGTATTTCTGGACAGCACCTCTGGATGTTCAGTGGTGCTTGTTACTGTAATATAACACTTGATGCTGATTTTCCTTAAAGCTTTTGGGTGGGTTTGTTTATGAAGATGAGACCTTCTCAGTGCCCAAGTTGCTGGAATAGCATTTCCTTTAGTGTGGGCAGAGTCACTTGGGTTTCCAAGTGTTGCTTGGAAACAAACACCCCACTAACGAATACTTATACAAATTAAAAAAAAGGTAGGATTAGAAATATTAATTTGGCTCTTGGCAGATCAGCTATATCAGTATGTTTTACAAGTTTGTCTTTTGCCTAGTGTACTTGCTGATCTGGGAAACATACCAGGCAGTATATTCACTATGTGATTTCCAACTCTAACTTTTTCAGGGAAAGACTGTATGTTTGCTCAAATCTAACGGATATCCAGTGAAGAGTTTTTCCAGATTAAATGCGTATTTCTTGAAGACCTTACAGAAAATGATCTATGTGTTACTAAGCATTTCGAGCTGATATTAAAACATTTGAAAATTAGGTTTGAAGAACAGGGTGTTTTTACATGTGGTTTTTGGGCACTGCTGTGTCTTTGTATGTCTTTAAGTTTAAGCCAAAAGCACTTTTCCGTGAAGGGCTTCCAGTTCTATAGAGTTAGAAAATACAAGGCCAAACAGTCATTAAGATTGTCTATTATGGGTGCCTGTATTTGAAGCAGTAGTTTGAGAATGATGTGGCTCATGCCTTGATAGGAAGCCTCGTTATGCACCACAACCTCAATGCAGAGATGTGCCTGGATGTGGCTTTCAGATGCTCCTTTTTGTTAAAACTGGGTACCGAGGATAAAATAAACTGTTAGAACTCAGTTGCTTGTGAAGATACTTGGATCTCTTAATATGATGGCAAATTACAGTCAAGGTAGTGTAATAACCTACTGTTAGGGAACAACTGGCCTTTGATAGATGTTGCGTATTCACTTGGAACTGATGATTCATCAAGTATTGCAGTGTTTTGTTTTGCTGCAATTATCTTCTGGATGAGTTGTTTCTGGGAGACCACTGTAGGGTGCAAACTAGTCTTTATACCATAATTTGTTCTTCTGGGTACTTAATTAGGAAGAGTTAGTTTTTTGTTTTTTCATAATGCAGAGCACCATCAGATTGACATGAAATGCATCTGGAAAGCTGCACAGAGTGGTATATAATTCATATTATGATTTTTTTAAAAAAAACCCTTTAGTGTAAGAGTTGGGATTTTACATTTGTTAATACAGAGCATGCTCTGAATTTAGTTGTTCCAAAACATTCATTGGCTTGGAGCCAAGGTCTTTTGTGCCTGAGCCACAAACGCTCACCAGGATGGTACAATAAAAAACGATTTTAATTTGGGTCAAGAATGGATGTAAAATGGTGAGCTCTGCCATTAGCATGCACGTATGGCATATGGCTGTTGAAGTCACACAGCCCTGATGGTAACGAGGCAGATATCTGGCTTGCCAGCTGCAGTGTGCTTCTCCAAGATGAGCTGTGTCTCATGCTCTGTGTTGTGAACAATAAAACACACGGGGGCTAAAGTTCTTACATGTTTGAGACTGCATCTGATCACTTGGTATGATCCGTTGAGGATTGCGTCCTCCTTGCTTGCTGGAGCAGCAATAACCACAGTTCCAACTCTCAGTGGAGCTTATTGTTTGTGCGAATATGAGTGTAATGATTATATGTGGGGATTCTTTTAGTGTAATTTTTTCAAATAAGTGAAACTTCTGCTGTGAGCTTTAGATTTTGTCCTGTTCAGTTTCTATCTGGGTAGTATGTGAGGCATGATATGTTTGGTACTAATTATTGGGGTAAAAGGACCTACATTTTTTTGACCTAATCAATTTGCCAACCACTACACATGTGCTAATGTGGTTTATATATTTGAGATGAATAATATAGGTTGCCTCTTAATGGTTAAAGAACAAGAAGAGTACCTTTTCTGGAGTTTTCTGTCCATGGGTTCCAAGCTTGTAGTTTAAGGGATGAGTCTAGAATAAACAAATATATGCAGTATCTGCATGTAAATAAAAATCTTGTATAGGTCAATGGGATAACATAGAGTATTCATGGAATGTGAAATTAAGTACTCAGTAATAATAGCATGATGAGGACTTACTGGAGTAGCAAAAGCTGATCCTGCAAGGCAAATCAAGAGAGCTACAGCCTTCATGCCTTTCAGATCTTGTAGAGGACAATAGTTAATGGTACAGTGGTAGGGTTTAGAGGTTTCCTTTCTGCAAGCAACATGAAAGTAAAGTTAGGATTTGGGTATAATGGTCTAGAAATGATTAATGGAAGCAATGTAGTGGCTGCTGTAACTCTCCTAATCTGAAGACCTATGAAACTTCCATGTAGTGTCCAGTTGTATGTAAACTCAGGTGTTAGACCAGCTTATCTAGAGGACACTTTGGTCTTGGTTCTTTTACAGGACTTAAGCTGTATGCTGTATTCGCAAACACTGGTGTTGCTGAAAGATGGAGTTATGAACGTACTTAGGTCCAGCCCTGTAAATCTTTATCCGCTCTTCTGAGATACGACTTTGTGAAAAATGTCCCTTTTTATTTAGTTCTGAGACAGTGCCTGTTTGTGGCATCTCCATGGCCAAGATGTCTCCTGGCTGCTCTGCTTTGTGGCTGTAGTAGGAAGAATTAGGTAGTGAAGTTCTGCTCAGCATGTCTCAAAGGCCAGAAATGCTGTCTGGGCTGTTTGGCGAATTGGTGCAGTCCTGCATTGGAAGCAACAAACCCAACTCTGCTGCACAGTAGTGTGCCAGATGGCTGGCTGGAACAACAGGCAATGCATAGGAATTTCTTCAGTCTATGCTAATATCCTCATGTGAGTGAAAGACAGGTAACTCATTTTTACCTCAGATGTCACCAGCAAATTTTCTTTTGTAGTGCACATGAACTGAAAGTTTCTATGACTAGAGCTGTATCACTGGGAAAAGCAAAAACAAACAGGTCATATTGTTTGTTTCTCCCTTTCTTTTTTTTTTTACTGTATTGCTTTCTTATTCTTTTTAATTTCCTCCGGTTCTTTTTTCTATATTCCTACAGAATCAGTAGAATTTTCACTCTGCTTCTGTTTCTGCTCTCATTCTACTGGCTGTTCTTCCTTGGAAAATGATCTTCTTGGTCTTCATCACCCCTTGCCCTTGAAAATATTTTCCCTTTCCAATTAATGTATGTCCTTTTTCATTGCTTTGCCCTTTCCTAATGAAACATGTATCATGGTCCCCTTAGGTGAAGAACATTGTGTCTTTTGCTGGTTGAACTCCCTGGCCTACGAGGAAACTGTCAGTGGTTTCAGCCAATTAGGTCCACCATACTCAATCACACAAGGCTCAATGTATGGTTTTAAAATGGCGTTCACCCAGATAGTTTTTCTAGGGGAGGAAACCAAAACTCCAGAAGAAGAATGCCAGGGGAGCTTGTGTTTATGGGAGCCAGAATGGTGAAGCAAACAGCAAAGACTTCGAGCATTATATTGATTTTTTTTTGTGTGTGTGTAGAATCTTGCAAAAGCATCCTGGCTACTGCTGTGCCTAGATCTGAAGATCCCTGTGTTATACATTATTTAATGTCAATATCTTTTAATTAATGAAAAGCAAAATGCTTCATTAGTGGGGCATATCTAGTATGCAAACCATTTTTCTTGCAGTTAACAGATTTAGTCTCCAGATTATCTCCTATTTAATTATCTATTATCTCTTTGGCATCCAGAGTTAGTTGTTTAAGATGTTTTTAGAGGGAAAGACAGAACACAACAAAAGCCATTAATGAGCATATGCAGAATGCCTCGCTGGGCTGTGTATGGGCAGTCGCTTCAGATCAAGGCAGGTTTTGTTAGACTGAGGGTCATGCAAGCCACTTGCCAGAAACTCAGAGGCATAATCCAATTTCCTTTATAGCCCTAAAAACTGTATACCATGCTTTTGAAGGCCTTGCAAGTGACTGAGGAAAGAAATATCTGAATTAGTCAGGTAGTCTTGATTTCTATTTCCCTCTGCTCCTGGCGAACAATACAGCTCTGGGCATGTCACTTAACTGAGTTTCTTTTTCTAAAAATCTCATTTGTCATATTTGCTTTGGTAAACTTTTTTGAGAGTGACAAATTAAAAGCTCTGCATGGTGTATTTTATTTATAATTAACAGTTTTCGAATTTGGCTCTGTCACTGGCTGTAAAAGTTGCCTCTGCCATCTTTGTCCAAATAATGAAAAAGTGGTTGGAATAACTCTGAGTTAAGGTGGCAGGACAGGGCTTTTGTATTTTTCTCTTAGTGACTATCCCACAGTGACCCATTGGAAGCATAAATCTTTAATTATTGGGCAAATCTGACCATGTTGAATGGAGTATAGGTACATAGTCTAGGTGAGTATCTCTTTTTCTCTAGTCATGATAGTCCTAATGAATTGTGAGAATTTATAATGTTTCCTCCAGTAGAATAACCTGCCCCAAACATTAAGTAGCACTTCAAAATACTCTTAAACTGTAATGGATCTGCAAGTATTGTCACTGTTAATTCCTGTTTTTTGCCTTTCTGAATATGGCAGTGATATCAGTTCCTGTGCAATGAATGTCTTCTGCTGTTTACAGAGCAAGGAATTCTGGGGTTTAGATGGTGCCTCATAGTGGACTTGACTGCTCTAGGTTAACCATGTAATTCTGTGTCTCCCCCCTCTGATACCAGTCTCATTGTGCAGCCAGTACAAGGAGTTGTTTGCAACTGGCAGCTGGAAACTGCCAGACAAGTTCAATAGCCATAGTCACAAAGATTTTTTTCAATGCTGGTGATCCTCATGAAAGGAGAAGCAGTAGGGGAAGCTGGGATGACTTGTTATGAAAGCTGTAAAGTCAATCACAACAGCCACTTCAACAGGGAGGAAAAAAAATAAAAAAAAATAAAATCTAGACCGAACTCTAGAAGATGGAGTTGCCCCATTCCCTGCCGTTGCTAATGAGTGTGGATGTTGTCTGGCATTTAGAAAAGACCTGAAAGACAACGGGTCAACTTTGGAACTCTGTTTCTCATTGTGTAGAATGGGCATGAAGATTGCCTATCATGAGGATGAGACTTGGGTAATGAGCTTTTGTAAAACCAAGTCAGGTGAAATATCTTAAGACACAATGATTTTCATAATTATTAAAATATAGAGAAGTTTCAGAATTGAGCTTTCATTCATATATCTGCAAAACATCATTGTGACAAACCATATAATGTGATTTTTTTATTTTTTTTTTTGTAAATCACCTCACTGAAACTTTTTTGGACTGCAATAAAATTGGATATCTTGTAATTATTGTAAAAGGTCTTTGCTTGGTGCTATATCGAGCTTGCTAGCAAGAAATGCTGGTGCCCACATCCTCACTGGCAAATGCTGTAAAGATGTGGTCCTCGTAGCCAGGTGATGATCTCAGCACTAACACTGAGTAGATAGAGTTTTGTGTACAAGGGGAAATTGATAAGCATGGAAACAGAGAATTCTCTGTGCAATGTCTGTTCTTTCCATAACCAAGATGTACACATGATACTCTCAAATTGCAACTGATACAGCACATTCTTATGCCTAGGTCTGTTTCAAAAGCTGTTGTGAGATCATGTGTGTATACATGTTACATATGTGTATAAGCTAGTTCATGTGTGTACCTATATAAAAATAAAAGGCAGTGTTTGAGACAGAGATCTGGTCTGAGTAAAAGAAGAGATTGTAATAGAATAAATACCAAAGCATAAAATTATTCCACTCATTCTGTACCAGTAAGTAGCTGCTAATGAGAATTGATCCCTCTGATGCTACCAGTTTTACATCTGCAAAAGCCATCAGCTGTAAGTCCTTGATGGCTGAATGCAAAAAAAACCCTCAAAAGAACAGTATTTCAGGACATGTTGAAACATTTTTTTAAGTAAACCATTCACATTAACTTAATGTAATCATTTGATCTATTATGCTTCCCTTCTACCATTTGATTTTATTTTCTACTTGAGATCTGGGTTTTTAGTTTGGGGTATTTTTTTTCAGAGCCCTGTGTAGTTTAAGTCCAGTTTGAGCCAAAAAGACCTGCTTTGATTTAATTTAATTTGAGAAGAGTCAAAATGAGACCTCTTGAGTAGCCAGTTATTTTCTATATTTGATATCAGTTGGTGGGTTTTGTTGTCTCTGCAACTATGCATTTCCTTCATGGATGCCCTGTTTGCTACAGGTTTTTACTGGTTCTAACAACACCTTTGTGAAAGATTCCTCCAAGACCAGCTGCAGTTTCTCTCTCTCTTCTCTGTTAGGCGAAAAGGGAAGGGTGAATCTGCTTTTCGTGGCCTTGTCTGTTGGATTAAGGTTCCTGAACTGATATTACAGGAGATTGTGATAAGTGTTGGGAAATCAGGTCATACAGTGGCTTTTAGCTGGACAATTGTGTGCTTCTGCAAGAGGCATATTTTGCTTGACTCTTGTTGGCCATCACATAACGCTTTATTGTTTTGCAGGATCACAAGGAAAATAACGGTCTCGGCGGTAAGATAAAGGTCTTTTTCCTCAACACAATAACTATACAGTGTTTTCTCTTATAAAGAACGTTTCTTTCTGGTCTAGGTATAAACTTTTGAAATTCTTATCCTTAAAACAAGCAATGATACTCTACAAAAGCTTCAGCTATTTAACAGTAAATGAAAAAAAATTTGCAAAAGGTTAGATGCAAGGCATTCTAAGGTTTTAATTAAAAAGAAAGAAGAAACAGTACCGTAGCAGTAGAAGAGGTGCTCCTTAGTTAGCCACTGATGAACTGGAAGTCCTTGAGCCTTGCAAAATCTTGCTGCTTTTCCTGTGATGTATTTTGGTGTCTGATATGGACTCTCTCAGCAAGTGTGTGTTGCTGTAAGCTTCATTGAAGGAAGATGATATTCTATGGGTCTTGGTAAAACTACAGGAAACAATCTCCGAGGTTTCCATGGGATGAGGCGGGGGTTAATGGGCTAGTGTAATTCTGCTGGATTAATTGGATCAGAAAGACCATTCAGTGTTCACAGGCTCTGGGCCAGCGGAGCTCAGCCATTGTGTGGGAAGGACATATTTAGTCTTTTGTGGGGAGGGGAGCCAAAGGGAACGGGGGTGCGATAGTTCCTGCCACATTGGCTGGCCCCAGAAGAGCTGAACTAAGGGATCAGCCGGGGCGGT